AACCGCCTACAAAAAAGAAATGTTCAATTAGAACGTTTCTAATGAAAAATACATATCAGATATATAATTTGGGTTAAGCTCACCATTTCAAGAGTGTTTTAAGCTCCCAAACTAACTCCCGAACCTACAAAAAAAACAAAGGAAACATTAGTAAACGTTTCCTAAAAAGCAATTTTTTTAAAAAAAATGACTTTTTAAAAAAGTTTCAAAGCGAATGCTTCGAAACTTACCATTTTGTTTTTCTGAAAAAAGGGAAGGGAAAGGGCGGAAGAAAGGGGAAGAAGGGATAGAAGTAAGGGAGGTGAGGGGATGAAAGAAAAAAAAAATTAAGCTTTGCCAAAAAAAGCTTAATTTTTTTTTTCGGTATACCGCAGCTTCAGCTGCGATAATTATTAATTTAATATCACATGATGCACGTGATATATATTTTATATAAATATGAGACTTTTCCCAAAAAAATTTTTTTTTTATAAATAATATTTATGATTTATATATGGGCGGACCTATAGCAAAAGGTGGGGCTCGGGCAATCACTTGATTTTGAAAAAATCGCACTTTAATATTATTGGTTAATTAATAAATTATAATTTATTCCATCATTTTTAAAGATTTTTAAAATCAATTGTTTGCAAACTAGGGTAAAATAGGTAATACAAGACTATAAGTATCAAAATTTGCAATAAAAATTAAGATTTGTAATTTAATATTAAGATTTGTAATTATAAATACAATATAAAAAATTAGGATAAAAAAAGTATGAAAATTTAATTAGATATTAGATAAATTGAAAATTTCACAATTAAACTTTTTTTTCATTTTAAAAATCATCATATTATTGCCTCTACAGATAGAATCTATAATTTTTTTTGAAAATAATACATATTTTTAAAATTAAAAAATAATATTGAATTAAGATGATTTCATATTTCCTTCATATAGCAAATGAATTCAAGTTTCACAATGAAACTTATCACTTTTCCTTAATTTTTCTGTTGATATTCGCCGCTAAGAAAGAGTGATTGGTTACGATCGCGTTGGAACATATTTTTAAATAAAGTTTGATAAGGAATTTCAAATTTATTGTTTACATAATACTACCCAGACAACCTAAAAAAAATTAAACATTATTTAACGCTTTTATTAAAAAGGAAACAATTGAAGTTTCGCAATGAAACTTACCTATTATTAAATTATTTTCTCTCTAATCGATATCCCATATCATGGTATAATGTCAATAGCGTCATCTGATTTTGAAGCAGGAGGGTTATCGATCCTAATTGCTTGCATGGCTTTTACAATATTCAGGTGATTTCCAATTGAAAAAGTATCAATCTGTTCGTGGATTTTACTAATAGCTGATCTATAGCCAGCGATAGTATTCCCCTATTGAAACTTACTTGTCTATAAAAAAAAGAAAAAGATCGAAACGTTAATAAACGTTTCATTAAAATAAATAATTCAAATAAGCCTTCACTCACCAAGTTCCCACACGTCTAAAGAAATCAAAAGAAATGGCCATCTAAAAAGAAAAAAAATCAAATGTTAGTAGATATTTCGCTACAGTAAAATAAAAATTTAAATAATTCCTCACCAGTTTCTAATGCATTAATGACCCATCCCATCTAAAGAAAAGAAAAAATTGAATTTTTTGTTTTCAATACACTTGTTGAAATAACTTGTAGTGCGTGTCTGATACTGAAATTAATCCGAAAGATGTCATCTTCGATATCTTTTTTCCTTTGCCGTTATTCTGTAAGTATTTTACGTCCAGAGATACTTAAAAAAGAAACGTCTAAAAAAAAAATGAAAATGAGCAGTTAGTAATGCTCGTTAATATAAAAAAATCTGAAATAACTTCTTTTTTTTGCTTACCGGTATCCAAGTTAAAAAAACACCTAAAAAAGAAAAAAAAATGAACATTTAGTATT